TGAAGTAGGCTGAAAGACCCAGATGATGAAGATCTCCATTTATCCACAGACCATGGAAGCAGAAGCACAGCAATTCCCTAACCCCTTAAAAGCACTCAGGTTGCCCCCAACTCACTTGTCACTCCCAAAGTTGCTCCCTTTCCTTACCAAAAGGCACCAAATCACTGGAACACAGGGACACATTTGGACACCACAGGGCACTGATCCATGGCCTTCCTGCAAAAGCTGCCTTGTCTGTTCAATGCTAGAAATAGCTTAAGCATCCCCACACAGAACCATTCCATACCACAACTCTCTGGACCTATTTTCCACCATCCAGCAAAAACATGATTTGATGCAAAGACAAAGCACTCAGTATCTCTTCACCCACCCTTGAGTAATCCACATCATGCACTCAAAAGTAACTTCTTGTCTCAGAAGACATTTGCTTCTGGCATAAATTAATCTTGCCTGATACTCTGTCACCTGTCAACTCCACAGAGCTGCAGGAATGGGAAGTAAGGCTCAGAAACAAGTGGAAACCACATCTGCTGCTCAAAGAAAGTTTCCATCTGATCAAGTCTTTTCAGCTGTATTCTCATGGGCAAGGACATCACAGTAAGGATAAGAATCACAAAGCAAGAATAGCTTGGTGTTCAGAGCCCAGATGAAGCCTTAGATGAAGTCAGTTGACTATTATCATTCCTCATTTGCATTGTTTACCTGACTGAAAACCACATGATGCCAAGTGCTGCCCAGATGGTTAGTAGAGAGCATTTTTGTTGGAGAATGAAAGCAGACCAAGAAAGAAACCCTGGTCCCATTTTACAGGTAGGGAATGGAAGTACTGAACAAGACCTGCCCAGCTTCAAACAATGATTTTGTGGCCAATTTCAAAATTAAATCCAGATTTCAGATCATTGTCAGAAGAAATGAGATAGCTGATTTTAGCTGAGCTGATGGGAATCCAAATGTCAGTAGAAGACAGAGTCTACAACACTATTGCCATTTCTATCATGACTTTTTGTAGCAGAAACAAGTACAGGTAGCAAGCAAAGCCATGCAGTGAACAAGACTTCCTAGATCAAGTAAGAAGTGATCATAAAGCTTCAAGATCTTACTGGTTGAAAATTCACCAATTAAAACTATAAAAATAGTACAAATAACCAAACACTGTTACAATATTCAGGCTGTGTCTGACTTTGCACGTTTCCCCCCCTCCCCTCCTGCAAAAAAAAGTACACTTAAGTTAAAGCCACTAGCTGAATATCCTTTCTTTATAACAGGGATTCCACAGCCTAGGAGTGTTAATGACATCCACAGTAAAAGTGTTATTTAAAAAACACACCATCACCTCCACCCCAGATTTCAACTTCTTTTGCAAAGATCTTGGCCACAACTAATCCAGAAGTATAGAGAGCAGATAGACCAGGAAGCAAATCATTCTCACAAGGTTTCCCAGGAAAACTACAACATTTTGGAAAGCTTATTTAAATTAGCCTCTAACCTTCACCAAGGCACTCCCAGACACACCACTGAAAGGAACTGAAGGCACAGCAAGTAGATGCTATGCTTGGGATCCAAATGAGAGAAAGCACCTGGGCCAAAAGAAAATTTCTCCATCTACTCACACGCACTATGAAAAAAAGAAGGCTGAGCACAGGCTTAACAGCTTTCTTCTCCTCTCATTAGGATGTGAGACTAATTAAGGTCTGTCAGTACCAGCAGAAGATCTGGGTGATGTGAAATGCAAGACTGAGCCTTTTGAATGTTCTGTGAGCAGAAACTTGGCGAGAAGGGCGAAGAGGGGGTGAGAAAAACTGCACTGAAGCCACAAGTCTCTGCATTATGTATTCATGGGATGTATGCTGCCAGCAGGACTGAGAACAACCAGGCGTATAATGGGGAAATCTTGGAAATTAAATATATAGTCCTTTCTTTTAGTGGGTCTATCTTGTAGGCTTAAAGGGGGTTGTTGTTAGTGAGGTTAAAACTAGTACTTCCAACCAAAGGCATTGAAATTCCTCTCTAATGAGAGGAAATTCAGAACTGAAAATAACTGTCTTTAACTTACTGCAATTTACTAGGGTCAGCAGATGTCTGCAGATACTCTTTCAAACTGACACACCACCGGTGCAAGAAAAACAAATAATGAAGAGCAAGCTGAAATACTAACTCTACAGTAACGCCTTCTGAAAGAGGCACCAGATGGGCACTGCACAGGGCAGCCCACCCCACCAGTACCAGGCATGGCCCCTTTTCCCAGCCTCTGCAGAGATGAGGCAAACTCCTAGCTTTTACACACCTCAATCGCAGCCCCTTAAAAAAGTCCTGCAATATCAAGAGTAACTGCATCTAGGGAAACTGTAAACAGTTTGTAAAGTGCTAAGAAGGTAAAAAACCACTGTTTTACATTGCTGTAAAACTTCTAGGAAGCATAAAGAAACCTGCATCCAAGGAGGTCAACAAGTGTGGAAATACCACCTATCATCAAGTCTATAACCACTTTCATCACAAAGTTATTTCTTTATATACTCCTAAGCACTTATTTTTGAGTAAGTGGTACGGGCCAGAACATGGCAGCAGGGGTAACCTGACAAAAACCAACTCCAGTGATTTTTTTTCTACTGTGTCATGCAATGAACCAGACAGTATTGGTGCCACCCTCCTAATAGGGGTAGCAAGAGAACAGCCCAGCTGTAGGAAGAGCCACTCAAGCAGCAACAGCTTTATCTCTCTTGAGATATCTGTGGAGGTATCTAGTTTATCCTAGGCAGACAGCAGAAGTACCAATTATTCCCTTGAAGACATGATCACAGGAAGCAACCATATGAATTTATTGAACCCTGCCTCAATAACCCTTTTTGTCTCTGCTTACACCACCTTCTCTCAAGTGATGCTGCTTTCCTCTCATCAAGTTCTGCCTTACCTGCTGCATTTTTTCCAGGTCAAGGCTGGGCCTGCTGACCTTATCCCCATATCCTTGTCGATGTCTCTTACAAGGCATGACTTGCTCAAAGCCTGCCCCGACGCTTGTGAAGATTAAAGGTCTGGAGGCCGTGCTCCGCACCAGGGGCTGAAGTCTCTTGGGAGGGGAGGCACTGAACAGCACAGGGCTTGGGCTAGCATGCAGCCCATCAGCCTGCTCTGACACAGGCCGAAAGGACATTGCGCACAAGTTCTTCACTTCTTCGTCACTGGAGGAGGTGTTGTTGCTGTCGCTGCAGCAGGCAAGCCTGCTGACCTGGGACCACTTCCGCTTCTCAGCAGCGAACTCTCGGTTGATGCGCTCCAGCTCCTCTTCTGAGCTGTGGCGGTCAAGGCTGGCATGGAAGAGGGCTCGAACCTTGCAGCATTGGTTCTCCTGGTTCTGAAGCTGGTTGGTGGCCAGAGGGGTCAAGGTACAATTCCGTCTTCTCTCTGGTGGGAGGAGGAGAGAGAGGAGTGGCAGAGCAGATCTGTGTCCCATGCCTTAATAAACTGGGCCTGCTTTCTCCTGATCTGTGTGTTTTTTAATCTCCTCCCACGTAAACTTGACCTGTTGTCCCATCTTGTCTTCCACAGAAGAAACACCTTCTGAATGCTTTCCTTTGGAAAGCTGAATGCTTTCCTTTGGAAGTTTTCAGATCTTTGGTCAGACCAGACTGCCATACATCCCCTTGCAAACTGTCACGTGGAAGTCTATTTGTAGAGCAGGAACATGGACCTGCCACCCACCTAATCCCCTGAACATAGAGAAGACGTGATCTTACAAATGTCTTGTTAAGCGTTTGCCTCTAGGTAAAAACATTAAGTTCTAGTGACATTAAGTTCTAAGCAGCATGTCTGTGGCTCAAATAGAAATCTGGTTTCTGAAGGTAAAATTCCCCTTTCTATTTACAAGGCTTGTCATACAAGAGAGCATACCTTCAGATGTAAGCTGGGCATGCTTTACCTGTTCTGCTGAGCAATACGTTAAGCATGTGGAGCAGGGATTTGAATTTCAACAGGACAAATCCTGCAGGTCAAGAATTTAACTTCTACCTTTGCATAAGAATCCGCTTGAATTTGGCTAAACAACAATAAAACACAGGGCATGCACAGATGGCAGAGACTTAGCATAGCTCAACAGATGCATTTACTACAGATTTCACCTGCAGCTCTAAGCTGTTTCATACCAGGCCCGAAAACAATAGCAAAGCACCTGTCTCTCCTCTATCAAAGACCCTCACCTAGATAGAAGAATAGAGCTGCCCAATACCAACAGTACAGGAGGAAGGGAGCAAGATAATCAGACAACGAGTCCAGGGGAATGAGGAAATGAAGGTCAAAACTTGGCATGGCAAGAGGAGGAAACCTAGAACAGAGATGATGCAGGTGCACAAGCACAGAATACAAGAAAAATTTTTAGTCCCAGCTCTGCTGCTGGCCTGACTGTAGACCTTCTCTGCCTCATGTCTGCAGCACTGGGGCCTTGACGTGATTAACAATATCTCTAGTAAGGAAAGTGCAACTCTGGCATCTGATAACGCCAGCTTCTCCCTGTGAGGTCCCAGAGATTTCAAGGTGACTGATTTAACGTATCTGGTTGTGGTACACTGTGGACAGAGGAGGAAGCACTTCCAAGAGCACAAGTGAAAAGCAAAATGGACACCAGCTGTAACATGCCAGGACCCTCCTATTTTGTCCCTTTACCTCTGTCGATCTGAGCAAGTTCCTGGTTTTCTCCCTCAGAGTCCTCGCTGTCCTCATCACTTGGGGGGTAGGAGATCTAGAGGGCAAGGAGAAAGAAAAGGCTTCATCATGAACAGTGAACATCGCCCTGTTGCTGCCCAAGTCACTTCCCCCACCCTTCCCCTCATATCCTGCAGGCGTCCACCCCAACTAACTACACACACTTGGCTGTAGCACCTCCCTGTACACACATCCTCATCTCCTAACCTCAAACTCCCATCATATCCTCTTACTCGCAGCAACACAACACACAGAGGCTACCT